TCACTTAAGCAATGCAAGCCATTGACGAACTGAACATGAAATGCATAAAAACTAATATGAAACGCCATTTTGAAATATAAAATTGCTCTGAAATATTATATAAAATTAAATCAAAATTGAGCAAAAAGAATAAAAAAATTATGAACATCGTAAATACGGTTAAGCAGTTTCACACGGTTTTCGAAATTTCGCCGAAAACATGAGAAGGCATCCGCCTTGTCTGGTAGACAGACAAGACAGTCAAGGGGAAATAGCAGAGTTTTTGATATTAAAAAAAAATCGCTGAAATATGCAAATTAAAGCTCAACATTGCAGCGCAAACTGCTTCAATACGTCGCGGCGTAAGGACCCGGTCTGAAGGATATCCTTAACGCGTGTTCGAAGCACGTTTTTCTATGGAGCTCTTGAACAAACACGTACGAAAAAGCTAGAATAACACAAAAATCACACAGAAAATAGCACAAAAAACAACACAAAAAAATGAATTTAATCGAGCGCAAATGAAAGCAAAGGAGTGTGAAAAGTAGTCGAAAAAATTCTAAAAACCCAATAAAAAATAATCAAAGTAACAGCCAAAAAATGAACCGTGAGGCAAGTGAATTAAATGAAATTCGAAAATGAAATTAATTTAAATTAATATCACGCAAACGCCCCGCCGCTGACAAAACGACCGGGGCAAAACTATAAAAAGTGCAATCACTGGAGGTGAAAGAGTGCGGAGCCGAAAAAATGCTTTAAAATGACAATCACGACTCGTCACAAGAACTGAACAAAAACCACAATCAGTAACGAATAGCAATCGTGTAACGTGGAAAAAAAGGTGGCAACAATTAATAAATAAAATAAATTTCACTTAACTGAACTGTGAAGAATTAAACCAGCGAGACCACATGAGCGGACGGCTCAAGTCTTCTGTATTTTTTGCCAGAAACGCTTCTTGGCTTAAGTATGCTCCGGAGTTTACGTGCATGAAAAACACAGTTTTTGACTGCTTAAGCTCTCGGGACTCGTAAATAATGTGTGAAGCAAACAATTGACGTTAAAACGTGGTAATCAATTTTAAGTAGCTGGGCAACCCCGCCACCACACCCGCCACCCAATGCATCGCTCTGGCAGCATTGAACATTGAGCACCACACAAAGAAAAGTAAGCAGCGAGTTGCCAACACCGGCACCAACACGTCTCAACTTTTTGGAACTGACAAATTAGTCTGATACACTTTAAGTCAAAGATTAAACGTGCAACACTGCCAGAGACGAGGGTTGTGGGCTTCGAAAAAACTTGAGAACAAAACACTTTTTTTTATTTTTTCTTAATGCAATATGTGAGCTGCAACTTTAATGAGTGAAGAGCAAAAATAAAAATCTTCGTGTTGTTTTTTGCAGTGAAATGCAAAAATACTTCATCTTAATTTATGCTGATGAAGTACAGAAATTGACACAAATTAGACACGACTCGAAATTACTAAAACAATCCAAAACCTCTTTAGCGTTCACGTCTTCGAATAATGTGTGTCAACATTCAGTTCGAATAAATTTAATTGGCATTTATTTGCGAAGTAATCACAAATCAAGCCTAGAAATATTTCATGGACGGGATTTGGTTACTCGAATAAAATTCCCTCTAAAATAATAAAACCTACAAAACCAATAAACAACTAACCCGGTAAATTCCATCAAGCTTAATATTATATTCATATCAACGTTTCTCTAACGTTTCAGTACCTTTCTTGTAAAACGATTTATTTATCTTTGATCCCAAAATTTGCCTTAGACATTGCTAAGACTAAAGAACTATGGAGAATAACGTTCCAAACAAACGTAAACAGCGAAGAAGAAAGAAAGAATTACGGTTGGTTTGGACACACGCTGCGTAAGCCTTGTGAAGAACGTGTGTCGCGCATGCTGCACTTACTTGAAACCCCCAGGGTCAATTTTCTGCAAAATTTTTCACAATATCGTTATCAACCCGTTATTCGCATACATCCCTTAACAACATATTGCAACATAGGTACGTCCTCAAGTTAATTGTGGATAAGAACTGAAAGACATATTTTAGCCAAGTATGAGGTTTAAAATTTAGAAAACTGAATAAACGTTCTCTATCGCTTGATGGTTGAACATCTTTTCAACTTCTGTCAATGATTATGGTATAAGATGAGCACCCCTTTTTTCAGTGTTCTTAGCAGTGTAATACACCAAAAGTGTCATTAGTCAGAAGTGATTTTACTCAAATGAAATATTTATCTTCAACTCCATGACTCCTCTTGACAGATCGCATTGTCAAATAGATCGAAAAAGAAGAAACAAAATTATGCTCATCTGATTTATTCCTGTACAGTGTTTATCAGAAGACGTTGGTTGTTTCAAGATGTTACTTAGCTGAGTGATCTATTTTCAGCATACTATAAAACTGTAATGTCCTTCGCTTGAAGTAATTAATGGACTTCTTGATACCACATACGATTGTTGCATTGTTTTTTTTTTTGTAATACTTTATTAAACTAATTCGACAATGTACCTTAAAACTTTTAATTTTTTCTAAGAAAACAATATTCTTTGTTAATGAAAACTTCGTTGCATATATCAAATTTTCATGAAGAAAAATTTATTTTGAAGCTTTTCAAATTCAAAAGTTGATTTGACAAATTCCTATCAATTTAAATCCATATTTAAACGTAAATGAAATCAACAGGACAAAAAAACTTAAATAAAAAAAATAAAGAAATAAAACAAAGTAAAAGATTCTTAAAAAATTATAAAAAATTTTCATTCATGTATAAAATTTTCCGCCAAAAGTTTTTAATACTTTAAATAAACTCCATTCATGAATAAAACACTTCGCTGCGTAAAAACTCTACTACTACAGATTTAACTAACCTCTCCAGGTCTTCACTCACTGTTCCACTACTGAATAAATAAATTCACTTTGAAAACACGAAAAACCCCCCAAAAAAAAAGTAGAACTTTAAAATAATATAAATGTAAAAGTTGAAAAGCCCCTCATAACTCAGTTTTCTTTGTTTGTTTTCTGTTCAACAAGAAATATGGAACAAGAGGAAGAATAAGAAGAAGAACGAAAACAAGAATAAGAGGAAGAAGTATGAAGTATGAAGTATGAAGTATGAAATAGCCATTTAAGATTGTTGAAAACAAAGTTGTGCTGCTTAACTAAACAAGCACTAAACGAAAGAAAGCACAAATAGCACAAAACTTGTAGGAAATTCATCCTTCAACCACACCTGTTAAGTGGTAATTTAGTGTGCAACTTTAGGATGCTTAATAAGAACAAGCACATAGCCCTGAAGGAAAACGCATACGCGCTGCTACGTTCAAGTTTGAAGCACCACGTTCTGCATGCAACGCTGCACGCTAGATAATAGCTGTTGCAGCAAACATAATAGGAACAACGAAAACAACAAAAACAACAAAAACAACAAAGACAATAACTACAATAACAACAACGGCAAGTACCACAACAAAAGCGAGTGTGTTTAAAAGCCCATTCTTAAGCAACCTTATCAACGCAAAGAGATTGCACTGAGGACTTGCACGGTTGAATATAGAATTGATGTAAGAATTCGGTTGAAGTGTAGTCTCAACCAGAGAACAAAAGTTATATTCTTGTAGGTTTTCTTTTAGTTTCTTTGAACATTTACTATTCATTTCTATATCCGTTAAAGCATTTTTCATTCTCGTTCCGGCTTTTTACATTTTACTTTTCATATTCCATATTCCATATTCCGCCTTCCGTATTCCGTATTGCATATCTTATATTTTGTTGAGCACAATGAAGTTATGCAAATTCCTACCTAAACAAAATCCACAGCTAAAGTGCTCTTCTCTTTAACTTGCAACAATTATGAATAATAAAACACTGTGTGTACAGTGTACAGTGTACTGTGTGTAGTGTGTAGTGTGCAGTGTACACGCCGTCATTCAACTTTCCTTTAAGTCAAACACTTTAACTTACACAGCGAATTGCAGTTTGAGCAATTAAAAATTGAAATGGAAGAACAAGCAGAAACAGTAATATTGACAAATTAGACCTCATTTAATACAGCCAGGTGCTCGTATGTTGTATGATAGCCACCCTACATGTAAAGGTAATCTTTTTCACGTGGATATATGGCGTAAATCGTTCTGGAACTGTAAGATGATTAATCTACAGAAAAACTCCAAAAAAATAAAATCGACTTTTTATATTATTTGCATTATTTTGTAGCATTTTAAAAACGGACGCTCATTCTAAACCGGTTTTTGCTCTAGTTGCGTGTGACTTAACTATTAATTTTAACTTATACCATACATAATCTTGTATCTAAGATTTATAAGAACTCAACAAGCACTTAATGCAGTTTATTAAAGCGGGTTTCAACACCGTCCTATCGATTCCTTTCCTACATTCCCTTCAGCCTTTAGATTTTGATTGATCTGTAATTAATTCACTCACAGTAAAGATTCACTATGTAAAGTGATCCTGGATTTTGGGTAATAAATCATTTACATCCTTACATACTCATGAACATTACTTATTAGTTCTATCACATGATAGAACTCATGAACATTCTTGCCGATAACAGAAATATTTTGTCACTGGAAATTCAAATATTTTTCACTTAAATTTTAAGAAATAAACTCTCACTCCTAGTGAGAGAGTGACTCTCTCCTTATAACATAGTGTACTTTATACCTTAGTTCAATGTAGTGTAATATGGCTTCGCCCCAGAAGCCAAGAAGTAGATAAATAAACTTATTTACAGAAACTCTATATACTTCACATAAAAATAAATAAATTAATTAGTGGATAATCACAATAAAAATATTGAATATATACTGTTTGTATGTTTTAAATTATGTCACGACCAGTAGGAAGTAGGTAGGAAGTAGGTAGGAAGTAGTAATCACAATTAAAAGAACATATTTTTCGAAATAAATTTATAGACTGTATTCAATTGCCATAAATAACATGAACACAATTCCCTCTTTTTATTCCATTAGGTGGAAAATCGTGCACTACGTCTGAGAGAGGTGGCCACAGCCATGCAACAGTATCAAGACGAAGTATTGCCATCGACAACCTCTGTGCGGCATGCGTCACATCAAGCATATGGTGCAGCAGCAGCGTCATCACAGAAAACGCAGCGTTTACATACGAATCAGCACGTCTCCAGTGTCGTTGGTGGTGAAGAGGAGCCCGGCGGCAGCAATGTTATTGTATATGGCAATATGCCAGACAGCAACCGTCCAAGAGCAGAAGGCTTAGGAGTTAACGGTTACCCCGAAGTTGAGGAAACTTCACATGGTATCAGTGCTTTGGCTGGCAATGACGCAGGACATAACGCCTTAGCGCCACCCAGTGCACACCACGCTGGCGATTGGGAATATTTTGATGAAGTAGGTTATATTCGCGGTGGTGCACTTCGTACCGGAGAGGATCCATATATAAGAAACCGTTTCAACCAGGAGGCTAGTGATGCATTGCCAAGCAATCGTGAAATACCCGATACCAGAAATCCAATGTAAGTAAATATACTTGTGTGTACATATGTGTATATATGTGTGTGGGGTTCATTTTTCGATTTTGCGGCTACCGGTTTGGTTAGGGGTTTGTTGATTTATAACGTTGCTCATATGCGGTTTGTGCAGGAGTCTATATGTGGGCGGCAAGTGTTTTATACAGTGGCAGGTCATGTGTAGGCTAGGATGCGCGTGTTCCGGAGTATGCGGGCACGAATGTTAGTTGTGAAAATAGTAAATTCTATTTATCGTTGGCGTTCAATTGGCTGCGGTTTAAATATTTTACGAAATTCCTGTAAATTCGAGAACTCGACGTGTGCAGTGAATTTATGGTGCGATTAATAAAAATGCACTGCGCTGCTTAGCTGCTTAATGAGCCTTGTTAGCTGCTGAACTTTATTTAATTAGGCGTTTGATAAATCGAAATTCCTTTTACAATTAAATCAGAATTGTACTTTTAATTAAAGCTTAGAATTTCTACTTTTCTTCTCTCCTTTCCACATCTTTGTACCAATAGCCTGTTGCAAATAAATTAAATGAATTTCAATTATTTCATTAAAATATCCTCTTTGTAATTATTAATGGTCCTCGGCGCGCAGTAATGTCAAAATGAGTGATTAATATTTATCAACGAACACAACTAATTAGGGACTTCTATGTTTTGAAAAATTAAGAAATTTTTCTCAAGCTTTGAATTTTATCTATAATCATAGAGTTTCCGAAACATTTTGTCTAACGTTACTCAATATAACACTTAAGATTATATATTTATATTATATATAATAAGAATATATTTAATAAATATGCTTCTAATTTACTTTCTTCTATTTTTCTTTCAATAGGATCATATCATTCTCATAAGCTTGAGTTTCGATATTGCTTCATAAACTTTTATTTCAAATAGAATTTAATCAAATCTGTTGCATATATAATACAAGGTGGATTGATAAGTACCCAGCCTAAGTATTAAAAACACTTTTTTTTTGCAAAATTATATTCAATAAGTTCAACTTACTGAGTCCAACGATCTTTGAACATTTGGACACCTTTTCAATAGTACGTTTCAACAAGTCGTCCATAATATATTCCAGTTTCCCATTCTACTTTATTATTTGATGCAAATCTCTTAAGTGTTATTTAACAAAAGATTTCTCAAAAACTTACATTTACGTAGCGTTTATGAATTAATTACAAATCTTCCTAAAAATGTCCAGAGTTCTTTATTAGCGAAATTCTGTTACCTACCGTTATGATGCTCACTATCTTCTAAGTAACTTTTTGTATAAAGAAATTGTTATATCTGGAAAAAAGAAGATCCATCAAGTACTGACACACTCTTAAAATTGCACAGTTTGGTACTGTGTATGAACAGCTAGCTATTTTTGCGGGTTGAACTGTACTACTACTATTGTCCGCTTCCCCCAGTGGGGTATAAGGCCTCAATAATTTGTCTTAAAGTGACTCAACTAGCTCACCTTCGACCGTTCTTTTCCACGTTTTCGCTGTCGTTCCAGATCTTCTGCTACATTGTGGATTCCTTCAGCGAATTCTCGATCTTGTAGTCACTCAAGCAGTCGCCATTGAATACCCCTGGTATTTTTTTATGCTCTACGGAGGAAATTATCTAACACAAAAATTAAGGGTTGAATTATATTTCTTGTAAAAAGCAAAAAAAAAAATTGAAAATGTCATCGTAAATGGTGTCTCAGACACAATCATAGACAACAGTTTCTAATTTCAAAGAGCCTCTCTTATATATTATATTGTCGGAGAACTCAATGAATTAAAAAAGTACGAATATACTGTACTGAATGTGTATTGAATTGTCCGCAATAACATGGCTATAGATTGACGTCATAGTTCATGGAATATAATACAGATAAAAAAATTTCGTTAAAAGTATTAGAAGTCAATAGTGTACATATATAGAGGTCAACAATAATTTCTGGCTTTGAAGCACTTGTGAGATTTCGTTGTACCACTTGTGAGATACAGCCTAAACTATTCTAACTAGTAATGGAAAATTAAAGCTCGCATAGAAACATTTCTAAGATGACATTTCTAATTGACTGAAATAATTTTTTATTCTTTGTGTCATAAAGCTATACATCGCGAAAAAATATTAGACTCTTTTACCCAAATCGTATTTTTGTTTTTTCAGGATCATATAAAAACCTCTTATATTTTGTTATGGTTTTTTAGTTCCTTTCAAAGATTTAGTCACAGAAACGGAGTACTTACAAAATTGTTGTAGTTCCAATACCGAAAAGATGAAAAATCACACTTAGCTCTATGTAGTATTTTTCATGCTTGAGTGAGAGTTTACATTCCTGTTCTTGTATCTCATATAATTACAGACGAGAACAAGTCATTCTGACATAGCTAAACGCACCTTAGCTTCAAAAGTTTTCCCTTAGTAAGCTGTAATTTTTAACTAAATTAAAAAGATATTTGTTAACGTGTGTCAGTAATAACACTAATAAGAAAAAAAGTTTTTATGGTCATTTTTAAACAGGAATGTTAAATGTTTGCTCTATCGTATGACAGCCATTTCTCATTGTAGATGAGTAATCTGTTTTCGTGTTCTTTAAAAGACCTCAAAACAATTTCAAAGAATTACTTCAAAGAACATATTGTAAACGTTCAAGAATGGTTTTACAACCCAAATCGTCTCCCATCCTCATCTTCAATATATTGCATTATGGCATTTCCATTGTCGTTCCTTCAAAAACTCGTATTTGTATTGCCAGCTCTTGGAGCCATTTGAATTTTATTCGGCAATGAGGTAATTTATTTAAATATGTGCACAAATGTGAATAAATTTTGAGTCACTAATTTTCTCGCATATCATATTAAATATAAATATTTATACAATCCTGAAAAAATTGTATTTTTTCTCCTTTGCAAAAATAACAGAAAGTGTGATTTTTATGCACTTTTGGCTTTTAACGTGCATAAAGCTGCGTTTTATCCTTGCAAAAACCAAGCACTTTCGGCCACTTACGGAGGCCGGAGGACGGAGTACTAAAGGACACCCACAGCAAATTGCTTCATCAGAATTTTTAAAAATTTAGTGCATAAGTCAACAGACATGAAAGAAAAAGAAACAAAAATTCGAAAAAAAGCGACTAATAACAAGGAAGAGGAAATTACAAACTACAAAATTCCGATCAAATTGATTGCATCAAGAACCGACCATTGGGCAATTTAAACCTCTGGCTCTGGCTCTCGCTCCAGCTCTGGTTGTGGCTACATGCATGCAAGACATTCTGATGGTCTGGTCAAGAAAAAAAGATATTGTGCAAAAAACCCGCAAAAAGAAACAAGTTTAAAGCAAACACACAAAAAATGATAAAAGCAGGAAAGCGCACATGACAATAACAACAACAACAACAACAACAACACCTACAAATAGACAAAAAAAATTGAAATGAGTACTGAATTGGATAATGCTTGTTTGCATTTGACAACGAATAGTCAAGCACATTTCCACACTCTGTTGAACTCTCTATCACAACAAGCCAGCACTCTATCAACACCGCACCAAAAGCCTCAAACCCATTCCACTACCACCTGCACAATCTGCATGTCCTGCCGTAACAGGAAGTAACCAGAATCAGGTCAGCGTATAGAAACCAGCTTAGAGTAGAGGTTTTTTAGAATTCCAAAAAGTCTTTTTTCCGAATAACTCCTTATGAAGAAAATAATGGTAAAGGAAAGTTAGAAATGTTGCAAGCATCTATTGTCATTTTGTCATTGAATTAACCACATTTCGAGTCTTTTTACCTTGCCACACTCATAGTCGAGTCCTTGTCATAACCGTGCACCGCACCAATTTCCGATCTCCCAGTCGTCGGGTGCCTTTTACGCAGCAATTTATTTTGAAAACGTTGACCTGATTGACTTGCATATATTCATATGAAACAGATCTCTATGGCTTCTCTGCTGATGCCATATTTAGCACCATCAGTGGAGCTTCGCCATTGTCATTTATTGTTGCGGCAATGCTGGCAGACATTAGATTACATTTCCGGCAAAATTTCATGTCGATAACATAGGAATTTCATTTTAAGCATTTTTTATTGCGACATTTTTTATTACATTCTCAAGTTTTGTTGCCCTTTCTCTTGCCTTTTCTTTCACCTTTATTTCAACTATCTTTCATATATTGTGCATAAAAGTAAAAAACCCATGTACACGTTTGGAATTGGAATATGTGCGAATTATTTTTTCAAGTGTAATCGCTGAACAACTCCGAAGCCATTGAATATGTGTTAACGTGTCAAACATGCATGAACGTGTCGTTGGCAAATACCTGTAACAAAATACCTAATCAATTTATTTAATCAAAAACAGGAAGTTAATCGACTATTATGACTTAAAAGCGCCCCAGTACGCCCACCACACCCACTACACCCAATGAAATAAATTGCGAAATAAGTTTCGAAATGAAACTTGCTAGGGTTTGAGGAAACTTTCGCGCAATTTTTCTTCAAATTATAATATTTTTACTTATTGAACTGGTAGATTATGTCTTTTAAAATAAATCAAAAATTCTTTTGAGTATCTCTCTCTCTCCCTCCAAAGTCAAAGTCATAGTATTCTCTACTATACTTCGACGATAGCGTTATTAATACACGGCTGTTAATATACGTAACAGTACTGCATACGTAAATTACTCTGATGGACTCAGAATCTAAGAAGAAATTTCAAGAAACTTTCCGCAACACTTACCATACTATGATATGTTGGATAAAGAACGAAAATGCATTGTATATAAGCGGATTAAAATAGGAAACTTCACCCATTAGTCTTATCTAATAGATCCAATAATAACTACAATAAACTAAAAACGAGTAACTACTACCTTTTTCTTAATGTTAATTGCTATATAACTAAACTTATACGTATATGATCATATCATGTACGTATATACTTGTAAATAACGTAGTATCTATTCATCGAGATAATGTATCTGAATTGAAAAAAATCTTCGTTCAATATTTTAATTCATTAGCTCCAATAGCAAAAAACTAGTTTGATTTAAGCAGGCATCCAGTCAGATTAATTAACAGAAACACAAACAAACAGCTCCCTCGTTTTGACATGCTGATCAAGAATTTAATAACATCCAAAGTTTTTACTATCATTAAAACTGGGTAAGGTGATAACGAATAACTTCGTGTATTCTCTCGTTCCACAGTTGGATATATTGGGTTATCTCATGGGCGGTTTGCTTGGTTTATAGGTATCCAATTTCTGTTGAATTGTATTTCACTATCCACTGTATTTCTTGAACTATGGTATCATTTAGGTAAAGTTAGGTTGAAGGCGGCCTTTGGACACAAGGATCACGTGTCTGGTACTACGATACTATTTGATGGTATCAATCGTTACCATCAAGTTTTGAAGGGTCTCAGTAAAGTTAATTGTATCTTTAACGAGTATATTGAAATATGATGTGTAAACTGAAAGTATTTTAAAGTTCTAAATTGTTCTATTTTGTGTTCTATATACTTTTACAACCACTCTAAATGTTAATACAACTGTGTCGTTAATGTGACTCCACCGTCAGTATAACCAATTCTTCATGCTATTTCAGGTTTTTAACTTTTCAAGATAACACACGTTCCCTGAAATTAGGTCTAGAACTGATCATTATAGTACGCCCCATTATTATTCGGTGTCATATATTAATATTCTTTACATTAATTGGCTCTAATGATTTTCAGCAGATTCATCGGTGCTTGAATGTCTGTTAAGAATTGAAGTACACATTATCGGTATCCATTTGAAGAATTAAATATATGTTTCACTTTTAATGCTACAACTTCTTAGTCTATTTTTAGAAGAAGCAAAGGTGAAGAATTATATTTAAGATGTGCATATATAACATTTTACATATAATCTAAAACTGGACTAAGAAAAGCAGTTTTGATTGTGTGAAGTGCAATTTAATTCAATAATTTGGAATAAATTTGTAGTGATTATTCTATAACCCCGGTATTAAATTATTGCTTGCTTAGTATTTAGAATTATTGCTTGCCGTAATTTGGATAATACCCTTTGCCGACAGTCTTACAATTACTCTATGTTTTGCATTAGTATATTGCATAATAAATTCATAATATTAACCAATATCTGAGACAACTGTATATAATTGAATGAATTTTGAATATTCAAAATTATATTTAAATGATAATTGATAATATTGAACGGTTATCCACTATAAATGCAAACATCATTAGTAATTATTAATTTCATACCTCCAGACTTTAACGAAATTGTGTTAAATGCTCATAATGATCAGAAATTATATAAATCATTTCACATTTTATTACATTAATCCCATGTTATGGGGATTGTTTTCCTCTCATGAATTCAATCCTTCACTTACGCTACATTGACCTCTTTAAGAGTATCAAAGTTTTGCAGTAGTGGTAAGCAGTTTGTTTAAGTATTAAAAGTAGAAGCTTAATAAAATTCTTTCCACAAAATGATTTAATGCAATTAAGTAGGAAAAATTATTCATAATAAATGTACTCGCACACTTCATTTGTTTACACACCGCATCCTCAGAGCCCCACAGCCCCACAGCCCCACAGCCCTACAACCCTACATCCCCGCAGAATACAAACAGATAGTTAAGCGCATAATCCTCTTTTATAATAATAACACGATAATTGTGTACACAGAAAAAATCAGGTCGTGGCATATCATAAATTTTAAGTTAACTGAACTTAAAAAACCAATAACGGACAAAAAAAACACATAAACTGTTAAAAGCACAAACAAACAACTGAGATAACACAAAAATAGTACAAACAACAGCAAAAAATATCAGAGTAAAGTACACAATACACAACAACAACAACAGCAACAGCAACAACAGCAACAACATTAATAAAGCAAGGACTATGCTTTGCTTGGTAACTCCATTAAAAGCACATTAGCGCGGATTATACTCCTGGACTTTGTAAGGCATTGTTGCTTATGGCATATATGCTTTACTGCAGCACCAATACTGTTGTTGTTGTAAGTGGTGGTGTTGGTGTTATTGCTTAGCTAATATCAGCGAAATCATATGAATGGAGTTTGCACATACAACCATATATATATATATATGTATATATACACACAGAGACACATACCCTATGTGAGATTATTTTGTGTGGTTGGAGAGAGTGTGGCAAAACTATTTTTAAGGATTCTATGTATGTATTTACAACACGCTCCATTCGGTACAAAATATTTTGGTTTGTCTACAAAATGGTTTGCAAGGACTTAAGAGGATTTCGGTAAGTACAAATGATTAGGGCATATGGGTGTGCATGTCTATCTTAGGTGAAATGGATGGGAGTATGTATGAGCATAATTAGAGCTAAAATTCGAAAAGAGATACGTTTGTGTTAATCGAATGGCAAAATTAATGTGGGAAAAATTTCAGGAATTATGCAGTGTCTGCTTATATCATCGAAGGATATAATACCTTTGCTTAACGAAATGAAATCACCACAACAAATTGGGCAAAAACATTTTGAAATATATCAAATTAATTGGCAATGATTACTCAACAGTGGGTCATATTGGTATGATGGTGTCGAATGCTAGAGTTCTTCTAAATAATTGCCATTTAAATCACTGTGGGATTATTTATGCTCTCCATTCATTATAGTTTGATAATCGAATACAGTAACAAAACAGTTATGGTCAGAAAATATGAAATAGAATTACTGCGATGTTTAAATGTTGTTTCTGTCTCTTAGCAGCCAGTGATGCAGGGATAGTTTAAGACATGTTTAGAAAAAAGTAGAGCCCTGTTTTTTCACATTAAATATAAGTTGACTAAACTAACCAGCAGTGGTTTTTTAGAGACTTTTGATACCTTTGGAAGCAAGGATAAAGATTTGATAGTCATTATAATCTCAACTGTTTCCTAATATGATACGATATAGTACATTTTAACTGTAATAAGCTTTGATGTTTCAGGCAAAACGAAAGAAGGTGAATAAAACATGTTTTGAACAAACTAATACTTAAATAATTTAATACTTTGACTTTAATTTATTATCTATCAATTCATAATTTATATGATAAGTCATCTATTTATAATCTCTTTTAGATTTAAGTACATATTTTTAAAGTCGTTTGTACCATTTTTAATAATCATAAGGGAAGGCTTCTTTCTAATATAAGTTTTTTTATATGTCATTGTATACTAGATAAGTTTTTAGTGATGTGCAAAATTTGTCAAGTTTCTACATTTCCTTTAGTGGATTCTTATTATTCGGTGGTGGGATCCTTAACGCTCTTATAATAGATCTCCCTTGGCGCTATTGTTAACTTGAAATGTAATTATTTTCAAAACAAGTTTACAGTTTATTGAATTTCAAAATATTAACTTACTATGTCTATAAAGCATAAATCAGATAAATTGTTTAGTTTAAAGCATGCAATATTTTAAGGATCGAATATCTGGAACCTGCTCTTATGATCACTCTAATTTTTTACTCTGGGTATTCTTTATTTACATTGACTTATATTTTTTTCGTTATATAAATTATTTTCCTTTGCTTTATCTTTGCTTAATCTGCTACTACCGTCCGAAATTTTGTAATGGATTTCTATCTAACTAACATCTAACTAAATTATATTTCAAATTTTTGTCTACCTTAATACCACTTATCTTATATTCAATTTCTCCTATATTCTGTTTACCTAGATTTTCAATTTGATGCTTTTTTGGCCTCCATTTGCCATTCGGCTTTTTTCAGTGATCCAGTAATTAATTGAAGTATATTTATTAATCACATATTTATTTTCTTTCTAGGTGTCGTAGTACACATTTCCGTAAGGACCTACCAGAAACTAGCGTTATTATTACTTTCCACAATGAGGCTAGATCCACACTTCTACGCACCATAGTCAGGTAAATACACATACCTACAAAACTTTCACTGATTCCGCAAAGACAAAATCAAAACACTAATTTTGTTTTCCACAACTGTAATTATCCTTTTCAGCGTGCTAAACCGTAGTCCAGAGCATTTAATACGTGAAATTATACTAGTCGACGATTTCAGTGACCATCGTAAGTACACAATTCATTAATCCCATTACGCAATTTTACGAGTTCATTACATAGTTGACGTGTAACTAACCCTTGTCCTTGTTGTTTTTATTTGTCTTCCATATTTCGTTTCCATTGCACAACACTGAAATAGCTGAGGATGGTCTCGAACTAGCCAAAATCGATAAAGTGCGTGTCATTCGCAATGATAAACGTGAGGGACTTGTACGTTCGCGTGTACGTGGTGCTGATGCTGCTCAAGCCGGCGTTCTCACCTTCCTCGATAGTCATGTCGAGTGTAATGAACAATGGCTAGAACCGTTATTAGAACGTGTACGTGAGGATCCAACGCGAGTCGTTTGTCCCGTCATCGATGTCATCAGCATGGATAATTTTCAGTACATTGGCGCTTCGGCCGACTTGCGTGGCGGTTTCGATTGGAATCTGATTTTCAAATGGGAATACTTAAGTCCGAATGAGCGTGCAACACGACAAAATGATCCGACAACAGCTATACGCACACCAATGATAGCTGGTGGCCTATTTGTCATTGACAAGGCATACTTCAACAAGTTAGGCAAATACGATATGAAAATGGATGTTTGGGGTGGTGAGAATCTCGAAATTTCATTTCGTGTTTGGCAGTGCGGTGGTAGTCTGGAAATTATACCTTGCAGTCGTGTTGGCCACGTATTTCGTAAACGTCATCCCTACACGTTCCCGGGTGGCAGTGGCAATGTTTTCGCACGCAACACCAGACGCGCGGCTGAGGTTTGGATGGATGATTACAAGCAGTATTATTACTCGGCTGTGCCGCTTGCCAAAAACATTCCATTTGGGAAGTGAGTTTTGATTCTATGTTATTGTTTTGTTAACTACGTGATTCGTTTTTTATTTTTCATAGCTTTTTTTATAATAACTCTCAAATACTTTTTACCACTCAATTTATTTATATCCTGTTAATGTTACAATTTTTCTTCACTTTCTTTTCCTGTGTGTGATTTTCGTTTCGACTGCTCTCCTGTTTGCTGTTTCCTGCTCCGGTTACCAGCATTGATGACCGCTTAGCACTAAAGGAGAAATTACACTGCAAACCATTTAAATGGTATTTAGAGAATGTTTATCCAGATTTACAGGTTCCTGAGTCTTACGAATTTGGACAATTTAGACAAGGCGAAAGCGATTGCCTGGATACAATGGGAAATTTGGTTGATGGCACTGTCGGTGAGTATATTTTATAAAAGTGGCAGCAATTTAAATGAAATACTGAAATGTTCTTATCGAGATTATTTATTTTATCGTCTAAGCTCAATTCAATGCGAAAAGTGAAAAAAGAAAAACTTATTCTCTTTTTCTTTTGAATTAATTTTTTGTCTTGGTACTTTTTGGTAATAAGATAAAAAGCAAAGTATTATCGCAAATAATACAAACTCACAGAAAATGGCATTTGCAGTCCTTTAATTAAATTTAAAAGATTAATACGGAACACCGAAAAAGGTGGGTGTTCGTTAACAACTAAGTATTGTTTATGTCCAATAACCAAAATGAAATATTCAAAAGAAATATTGCTTTGAGAGCAATTCTAAACAAATTAAATGATAAAAGTGGCTTTTGTCTACAAACACTTTCAACTAAGAACTCAACCTGTCAGCGCCATCAATATTTGTTCTATCACACTAGAAATAGACAAATTACAAGCGATACTCTCGGTTTATCAAGATGCTTGAAGCACAGGAAACGGCAGATTTTGATTGGTGTCCAAATGAGAAACGAAATCAGTATACAGTTACTTGGCATATGTAGGGTAGTCAGTTCGAAGTCAGTTCGAAGTCAGTTCGAAGTCAGTTCGAAGTCAGTTCTAAGAGGAAATACTACAGCTTGAAGCGTATTAATGGAGTGAACTTGGTTAAATTTTATAACTTGTTAGTACCTGGTTGTATTCAGAGGGTGATGAAAATGTCGCTTTTAATAATAACATATTACTTGGATCTGTTACTGAATATATGTATATCTATTCATATGTTATAATTTGAGAGAAGTAAAAAGTATATAACGGCTTTAAGGCATATAATAAAATTGACCCCAGAAGTAGATGTTAATGTGTGTGTTGGTTTGGAGGACCTTTAAGATTAGCCATCTCCTCCCAAAGGTATTTGATTGCATAGTGTAGCTAAGAAAATGTCAAACAGACCTCTTTGCCGAAAATGAACTTGAAGTTTCGTGAATTTAATATCCAAAAAGTACATTCAGTTCATGAAAAAAATATTTTTCGAAATGAAAATGAATTACTTACTGTGATAATAAATTAAATCTTAGGTGTAATAAGAGAAATGCATTCATCAGTTCATTTCACCGAAATCAATTAATCCTGTAACAATGCAGGCACACTCGACTGGTGCCTGGTTAGTGCTTTATTCGAAATACAATGCAATTTTTTGTATGAGGCATTTTTGTTATAATGGACAAATCCTTTCCATTACATATGGAAAGCCCATGGCAGAAAAAGGCTACCGGCATGGCTTCACAAAAGATAAAAATGAATTCATTTATGTGAATTTAATTGAATTTTCTGATCTGCGCACATATGAAGCGTAAATACACTTATTTATTTATAAGTAAATATTTATATACATATATATATATATATATATATATATGCATATACAAGTATATATGTATATACTTGTGTATATACATTGTGAACATAATCGTATATACACTTAGTAAATAATAATATTTTTATTCGTTTACGCTTACTTTATTTATTTTGCATCTCCTTTCATATTCTTCAACAAACGCTGACAATAATAACAATACCTCATCTTATCATTGCATAGGACTATTTCAATGTCACAACACCGGCGGTAATCAGGAGTGGGCATTCACCAAGCGTGGTCAAATCAAACACGATGACCTTTGTCTGACACTTGTACAATTCGCACGCGGCTCACAGGTTGTCATGAAACTTTGTGACGATTCGGAGAATCAGAAGTGGACACGGCTTGAGGGCGGCTTTGTACGTCATCACAAGATTAATGTGTGTTTGGATGCACAAAACTCCAGTATTCAGGGTGTAACCGCACAACGCTGTAATTCGGCACTTGAGACACAACGCTGGACGTTCGTCCAGACCAAATATGCGTGAGGCTAAGTCACAGCACAAACTAATTTACTAAAGAAAATAAACCATCAACCGCAATCGCCACAACAACAACAACAACAGCAAACACAACAACAAAAACAACAGCATCAGCCCACAACCACATCCAAAAACTTAAACTAACAAATCATACCAGGCAATATAACACACCAACACCAAGACCAACACCAATACCAACACCAATACCAACACCAACAACAACAACAATAATAATTACAATAACAAAAAACCAACACAAATACAAATACAAGAACACAAAAGACATAACATATGTAACGAAATGAACGGAATGAACGAGAATGACCGATTTTGGACCGATAAGGACGACGACGCAATGTTGATGAAGTTGACAGTGATGGAACGCATAATGCTGATATAAGTTATATTTGAAACCATGTTGTAAATTAAATGTCATTTTATTTATTTATATTAATTTTTATTTTATTTTTGTTATATTACTAAACAGAAGGTTTCTTATAATTCTGGAGTGAGAGTTAGACGGAAGTAGACTATGAAGTAATGGACTTGGTAGGGAAAAATCGTTTAAAAAGAAAATTTTAATGCGCTACGGAATAACAAAAAATATACAATAAGTATGCGAGCGAATGGTTTGTGATAGAGGGAGAAATAGTGGAAGTGTTGTTGAACTCGTCAAGAAGGAAGGAGGAAGAATAAGGCTAAAAAACCAAAATTATGAATAGGAATAAAAATACAGATGAAAAAATCAATGAAATAGAAATGTAGTGGAACTGATGGTTTTAACTGATGCTGACGTTAAGCTAACTTTAAGCTCACAATGTCATATTAATCTTATAGGTTAACTAATAATAACTAGTAAAATTAAATTATTGTGCTTTATACTCCTATCGAAAGTGGTGTTATTAGTAAAACGTATTGTAATTTCATAAGATTTTTTTGGTGTCAATAGGGAAAACTGAAGCAAGAAATATCGTTTTATAATAGCCTCAATTTCTGTCCGCAGCAGAATAGCGGACTATCAAAAGGAATTGCACTACAAGGCTGTGGTCTCGAAGGTCGTGGTGTACCATTGTCTCTTCTAACAACAAGTAACTAAAGAAAGTAATTAAGGAAAAAGAAATTCTTAATTATCAAACATAAATTAATTATTAAACCAAAGTATCAGGATGAGAGCATAAAATAATAAACTAGTAGAAGTAAACAATTGAACAAAAAGCCACAATAGTCATTGACTACAACATAAAATGAATGATCTTTGGTACAATTTTTATTTGAAATTGAAATTTCAAATGCAACGAGTAAAATCCGTTAGCAAAGCTTTCCAACAAATAATCGCAGTGTAACATTTGGCCGAGTTTAGAAACTAGTAAAAAGTAACTAACTAATGTAACTAAAGTCAATGAACAACAGCGTGTTGCATTTGTCAATAGTCCAACATAAAAAACGTTTAACTAGTAAAAGAGAAGAATATAACATAAAACTAATTTTATAAAGTTTCGAATTCAATCGTTCAGTTATTTGAATACAACTTGTAAAATTTAAATAGTTACAAAAAAGAAACGAGTGTAAAAATTGTTTAACAAAATGAGAATTCAGTTAGTTTAGAAAAAGTTACGTTCAAATTTAAGCTCACGAAGTTGGAAAGTTCCATTTTCGAGATTTATCGAGATTAGAAAGTTCAGAAAGCAAAACGAAAAGTTATTGAAGAATTGATAAAATAGGCCAGTTTCTAGAACATTGCTTTCTTGGATTCTTTTGCATTGGTTTTTTAGTAAACAAATAATTTCATATATATTAAATCCACACATTTTCAAAAATCTCAAGGTTCTATAGTGTTTGTAATCTTATATCTAAATATTCAAATTATTGATGTTAGAGATCACATCAACGATTTTGCTCAAGGCACTTGAAGATGAGTAATTCTTCTCTTGTTTTTATAAAATACTAGTAGATTTTGTTAAAAATTTTCTTTATTCTTTGTTCTTTACATTTGTACATATATATAGAATTACTCTACTCTATATGGGAGATTTTTCTAATAACAAAGTTCAGTAAAAGTAACTAGTTCTTTCCTAAATCGTTTAGTCATGGCTTTTATACTCGTATTCAATAAATCACTGTATAAATTAAATATGTATATTTAGTTGCATCCATCATTAAGGTTACTTAACTCAGTCCCCTCAATCAATTAGCTGTAAAACTGACAGAGAATAAACTTAATATTGTGAACTTCACTGACATTTATTCTCTCAATGTCATTAGCGAATATGAACTCTAAATTTTATTTAACGACGATTCATTCTTTCTTCTTGCACCGTTTTTAACGGTAAATTATTACCTACCACTATATAGGGAACAAGATTATATTATTGTTTCTCTGCGCCTCTCCTCTCTCTCTCTCTGTCCCATTATCATGAGATTTCAAAAAGCACGCTACCGGAACTCTGCCGTATTAGCAGTTGTAGACCACGTTGGATAATTTCCCACGTTGCAGTATAGTTATAGTGCCGCGCATTCTGGACTATCTATCATATGCACCAAAGCTAACTTGGGATGAATGTCGATTTTAATAATTTTTTTTATTAGGAAAGAAAGGGAAAGAACTGAAAAAGCCACAGAAATTTTCTCCAGCTTTGTCAACCTAATATTAAAACCTAGTATTAAATAAAATATTGTAGTCCATTAAAAGTAGTCTACTTCTGAATTTTTATAGGGCCCACACTTATTCCTTTTAATGGAGTATTAGAGCAAAATTAGAGTCGAACTGTTTTTTATAATTTTTTATAATTTCTTTTGAGTTGGCATTTATGATAGGCGAGTATAAGTGATATTTATTTTAAAATTGTTGTTTAGAATAACTTTTAGTTTTTTAACTATCTATGTATTAAATGAAATTTTTTATTGTTGTTTTATATTTCTTATAACATATTTTAGTAGTTATTGCTTCATTTAATGAATTTAGAATTTATGAAAAATATCTTAAAATTAGTAAAAGTTGTTGCATTCAATTTTTGAAACTGAGTTATACAAACGTAAAAAATTGGGGGTTTATATTTAGTTCCTTCTGAAGTGACTGTTGTTGGTATTTTTATGTAGAAATCTCTATTTTGGGGTATATATGTATAAATATATATAGCATATGTATGTATATTTAGACTGAACCATTAGTCCCGTTAGTCCCTTATTCTATTGCTCTGCCTTTCAAGTTTAAATAATAATAAATATGTATAGGCATTTTTTTATTCCTGTTTTTAATTATACATTCCATACAAACAATCTGTTTATATTTTTAATTAAAAATAAAATGTTTTTTATATTTTCACTGTCAATTAAAAATATTTAAAAAATAATAATAATAATAATAATAAATAATAAAATGTGTGTACACAAGAAATGTTTGATTTATACTTTGAAAAGTAATACATTATCTCTATGTTTTAAGGCAAGTGTATTTATATGATATACATATATAAACATATACATACGATATTTATAGATGATTATAATGATATTAATTTTAATGTATGCTGAAATTGTCCCAGTCTTCTAATGACTTATTGTACTTAAAATATTGAATGAAAATAGAAAAGAAAAGATCTTATAAAATCTTAAACTAAAACATCTAAAACATCTAAAACATATGAGAAATTATCACCCTTAGGTAAGCACTATAAAAAATTTTGTTTATTATTAAATTACGAAATCTTTTTGTATTTATTAAGTATGAATTGTAAATAAAACACAAGAAACGTGCGAACTAATAAAAGAAATTATATGTGTTAAATAAAAAGTAATAGCGTTTTAATTATATAGCTCTACACATTGTATAAATTATAATTTCTGAATTATTCTAAATGGCAAAATTGTTGCTTAGTGTACTCACAAAGTAAGTGATTTAGCTGTAATACGAGTATAGCACCTGTTTCTTAAGGCTTCCAAGAAAACATTTGTCGGCCAATAACTTCGGAGTTTAGTCAAAAGTCTACTACTGCACCGCACACTTCTTATGCAGCAAAAATTCCGGAAACATATGACTCGCCAATTCGTGTTTAATGATGATTGATAAAAGTTAATGGTTGTCCTTTGGCATATGAACTGTCTAACTGGCATAACAATAAAGAAGCAAACATCAGGGCTTGAAGAAGAGATATTTTAGTTCAAAAACTATGACGCTAAACAAGAAATACTTTTTCACCGATTGGAAACTAAATTGATTTTCCGGATTTAGCAAAAAGAATATGGAGTTCAATATCTATGCTCCGCCAGAAATCCCAACTATATTATTGGTGTTCAGTAATTATAAATATCCAAGGAACAAAACTACTGAATCTCTCGATTTGCTTATATCAGAATTAAGTAATCACATCCAAAATGCTTTTAGTTAAAGATAAGCTTTCAAAATTGAGATATAAAATCCTAGTACATATCGCGAAATGATCTTTATTACCATATATGGGACCAAATTTTCCAAAGCGTGTAAGCCATAAATTAAAGATTTTTATTTAATTTTAATTGAATTGCTTTTCATGTTCAAATTACCTTAAACGATATTGAGTGAATATATATTAAACGATTTGAAATTATTTCTTTGAATTTCACATATGTGTAATATAAATGCTATAAGAGATCACAATAGTGCTTTTTATGAATAGTTTCACTAATTCGTAGTGAAACACTTTACATAAATAAGTCGATTTTTTACCTTGTTAAGTGTGTAGTCGACAGCAGTTTTAGTTGACTGACTATCAGAGGTTCATATTAAAAGTAATTCTGACAATATTATTCTTTCTGCATTTTTTAAGGTTCCAATAGATATCAAGAAGTCTATATATCAATAATAAATTACTACATATTTTAAATAAATATATTTGAGCTACATAATAAAAAAAGAGCCATTGTGATTCATACACAATAATTGAGTCTACACGATTATGTATTAAATTTAGACGAACTGCCCAAAGAGCTATCTTATGTATACAATACATACAATGCAAAACTATACAATAAGAGTAAGAGCAGATAGAAAACTATGTATGTTGTTTAATAGAAGAATAAAACTTTTTGTACAACACTGGTACGACATATGTAAAGCGACATATGTACATAGTATTTTTAGACAAAACCCATAGACGAAATCCATATGCTACAAGCTCTAATGAAAACGATAAAATGATGAGACTAAGTCAGTATTAAGGTTATTGAAAATTTTTTTGTATAAAGAACTGATGACACAGAGTGGCCCACTTGTAAGGTAACTTCAATCCGCTATAGCTTTCTAGGCTTGCGATTGTGACACCGCCTTCATATTTCTCTTAATGACAACAGTTTCATTCCTCAAAGGAGTATGGATATATTCGCATCACAGGTTTGTTTTTTGTTTATTTTTGATTAAAATATAGTTCGAAGTCCGAAAAGAATCAGTCTTATGGGAGCAAAGAAACAATTGCGCTTGCATTCACAAGACCAATTTATGAATATCGCCAAAAATATCGTTATTGAGCAATTTCGTTATTGAACAAATGAAATGATAGGTACTCCGTTTCATTGCCATCCGGTGTGGCTCAGAGGAATTGAGCCATAGACCTTTGTAGAATATCCTTCACGTCTAAATAGAAATAGTCACTGAATATGTTCACACAAACTTATCTGAAAAACTTTAATTAATTTAAAAAAGAGACATTTCTTAAAAATATTATGTATTTTATTTTATTCAAAGGTTAAGTATTACTACAGACTACAGTCTAAATAAAATTTATTACGATTATGCTCATGTCCATGCACCGCGGAACACTTTTCACAAAAGAGTGTTCAACAGCATAAATGTAGTCGCTAAAGGCACCTAGCTGTGGTAGCTGTCAGAGTAAACGCGCTGCCAGCAGTCGGATTAGTGGGAGCACAAACGCAGTGGAGCATAATTTGATTGATGTTAAAATGATGAATTGCATCTGCTGCCTGCAACTAACACTATTTGAGCCGGCCTAAGCAGTGCGCCTTAGCGGTGACTTGAGCTCCTGCAACATCTTTCCCGCAACTTATCACAGTCAGATGGTGATTCGAACGCATTAACAGGAGAAGGAAAACGAAACCCTGTGCTATGAGCAAATCCTACACAGCAAGAAGTAGCAGCATATGACATTTGTATCTGGTAGCACTCAATGGTAGTGCTCAATGAAAAATGGAAGAAAGTCCTTTCTCCATGCTCGCTTCTCACAAATTTAATGTGGCATTCCCAATTTAATTTAAAATGAAGCACTTTCGCTGCAGTTTCCTTTCGCAAGGAAATAAAATTGCCAAACTTGAAATTGGTCAATAAAAGTTGCCATGTGAGCCTTGAAGCACAATTTCAACTTTGATTGCTAGGAAACTTTTGATGTGACAGCAGCCAACAGGGACCTGTAAATATTTCTGTTTATTTTCAGTTGTCTGCTTTTTATTAACAATTTTTTTATCCCTCCCCGTGAGTTACTAGTTAGTGTCAAAGAGGAGAGAGAAGATATGAGCGGAAAACAAAGTGGTTCCGAAAATAAAGTGGTTCGAAAGGCAGTGTTAATAAAAAAAAAGAAATACATAAAAACACTAGCTTGGGGTGAGTTGATACCTTTTGTTTAATATGGCGGAAAGGATACGGCTTCAGGATAATATACACACAACACACGCAAACAGGTTAAAGTCGAGCTTTTACGTTACACACACCGGCGGTACATTAGCACGCCGGTGTGTGTGTTTGCGAGCGTGCATTGAGTTGAATTATTTATGGTTTCATTATGACGACCACTCGTCCTTAAAATGCTTATTTTAATGTGATTTTTTTGGTTTGGTTCAGCAAATGTGTGGCATTAATTATTGTCCTTTCTACTTACATTTGAAATATGCGAAGTGCACTTCAAATGCGCCCCAGGCACGGCCACATACGTAGTCTGCAGCGAAAGCAGACTCTGAGCAAGAATTCCCGACAGCAAAAAG